AGCCGTTCTCAGATGGCTTTTCTTTTACTTTTGGGAGGATTTAAATATCCCCCACATATTTTTTCCAAGTTTTCAGATTTTTCTGCACATATGGAGATTGCCCCAAATGTGCAGGAAAACCTCCCTGCCCCTCAAGTGCCCCAGATGTGCTGATTTAGATATCCGCATGGAGGGGGCAAGTTGGGAATTAGATATATAGATGCCTTTACGCATTTATCCCCTATTTTGACGTATTTATTGCTTTGCTGTCCTTCCCCCCTTAATTAAATCAAAACAACTGTCGACCTTATAACCTTCGCTTGTTACTTAGTTTTGTTTCTGCATAACTTAAAACATCTTCATCATGTTACATGTTAATTGGCTGTTCAGCCCCTGTCTATAAGTTTGAACTCTACCTTCCATTCCAGTGTATTTAGAAAAAGTGTGCCTGGCACACAAAAGAGCTAAACCTAAAATAAACTTTTGTCAGTCTTAAAGGTGTCACTGGACTCTACGTATCTTCTATTACTTCCCTACGTTTCGATTGAGAAGGGTAGCCGTGTTAGTCTGTCTGTAGCAGTAGAAAAGAGCAAGAATCCAGGAGCACCTTAAAGGTGGTAGTTCCGCTCTGTTCTGCTATGGTCAGGCCTCACCTGGAGTCCTGTGTCCAGTTCTGGGCACCACATTTTAGGAAGGATGTTGACAAGCTCGAGCGTGTCCAGAAGAGGGTACGCATGATGGGTGAGAGGGTTGGAATCCCAGTCTTATGAGGAAAGGCTGAAAGAGTTGGGTATGTTTAGCCTAGGTAAGAGAAGGCTTAGAGGAGACATGATTGTCATGTAGAAGATGGAGCAGATCTATTCTCTCTGGCTCCGGATTGCAAGACTAGATCTAATGGGTGGAAATTACAAGGGAGTCGTTACCGGCTAAATATCAGGAGAAACGTCCTGTAAGAGTGGTTGAGCAGTGGAACAGACTGCCTCGGGAGGTGGCGGATGCTCCCTTGGCTGGACGTTTTCAAGCGGAGGCTGGACGACCATCTTTCGGGTATGTCGTAGGGCTATCTTTCGGCTATGCTCCTGCAGAGTGCAGGGGGTTGGACTAGATGACCTGCAAGGTCCCTTCCAAC